GACAGCTTTTCTTCTTGGGATGCCCAGGATTTTTGGCTGCTCACAACCTCTGAGTTCCTGGCAACCTGTGATGGAGGTATAATTGTCCCCATCACAGAACTGTTAACCTGATCAAAATAGGGACAGGAGTATTTATGCCAATTCAACTAAAAAGTTACTAAGAGCCATGGCAATGAGTGCTAGTAGCCGTGTCCATTACAAATGCAGTTACAATGAACAAATCTTAGATTTACATTCTTTTCAAATATCTTTTTTTTCTGACTTCAAACTCTTGTAAAGCTTAGTGGAGAACTCAAAGGAAGACAATTTCCAATAACTTCAGTTCAATACGAGAATTTATCCTTTCTTTAGCTTTAAAATTCAGTTACTTCTGAGTGCTACTATTTTCTCTAAAGATTCTCATTCTCAGGGAAAGTTTGGTGTCTCATATATGACTGCCCTCCTCTACCGTCTGCTGCTAGTATAGGGCTCATTTCTCCTTTGTTGGTGAATGCATCCCACCAGCCTTGCCCTCCCATGTCAGTGCTGCTTGTCCTACACACCATACTACCCTATGTAATGTGCACCAGTAACTTGGACCATTTTCATGCAGCTGTAAGTTGAGAATGTTTTGTTTCAGACAATACCACATTCTTTTGTCTCCTGAGTCTCCGAGGTGATGAGACTCAATATCCGTGGGAATGCACACAGACTCACACAAGTAACTCAGAATGGCATGGGAGTTCACGCCTTGTAGGGCCACTGGGGACCATTCCTTGGGCAGTATGTTCTCATGGAGAAATGCTTTCCTCTTTCATCATCTGTGCCCACACTTCTGAGATGCTTTTCAAAAGGGACCTCAGAAGCGACTTTTGTTTGAGCCCCACTCTACTGTAATAGTAGCCAACCTGGTAGCACTGACACTTTTTTTACTTCCTTCCTTGCTTTTTCAACACCCAGGGCTCCCCACTCTTCCTCCTGGCATCACATTGCCAAATAAGCTTCCTGCACACTTGCCTTTGTCTCAGGACCCACCGTGAAGAAGCCAGGCTTTGATGGTTTCCATCCACGGGATGACATAGATCTACATTTTCTTCCAAGGAGGAGAGACTCACAGTCTGTCATCCTGGTCACTACTGAGAAACAGGTTCTGTTCTATTGGCTCTTCAGGAGCCCTGCAGTGCCCTCAGAGGAGAATGAGTATTTGTGTTTGGCTCTGCCATATTGTGTAAGATATGTGGACTCACTTATTCCATTCATTCACTCAAATGTAGTCACTCTCTACTTCAGCCTTTAGCACATTGACCATATACATGGTCTCCTGCAAGTTTGCTCACCAGACTTTATTCATTCATTTTCCATTGCAAACCCAGGTAATATGCTAAAAAAATAGATTTGTTGAACTGAGAGTTTTGGAGGCTGAAATTCCAAAGAGCATGGACCAGCTCTGGTGCAGATCTTCCAAGGCTGCACCACAACATGGCAGATGGCATCAGGGCAGAAAGCATGTGTAAGAAGGGCAATCATATGATGATACACAGAGGCAGAGTGTGACAGGGAGTCAATACTGCTCTTTTATAACATGTTATTTTCTTAGCAACTCACTGTGGTACTTTAGTTACTGTATTATTCTCTTCCTCACCCAGTAAGCCACATTCCACTAGGTCCTACCTCTTAAAGGTTGCAGTGTGGGGTCAGAGGAGATCCCCAAGGAGTAGGCTAGAACCTCAACTCACCCATCTGCACAATAGGTTTAGGTTCCTTGTATTGAGTCATAGAAAATAGTTATGGAACCAGTCAGTGAGAGTTATTGGAATAGTTTATTAGGCAAAATTGAAGAGGTATAGACTCAGGGAGACCGGAGAGTAGGGTCTCGAGGTCATTATGGTCTGGGGCTGTATTTGTATATTTGGGGGGTGGAATCCTGAGAAATTTATGAATTATAGAAAATGCAGGATCAATCTATGGCGAAGGGGAGCTGCCCCTTTAACAGGTGAAAGCACATTTTATAGGAGAAAGGCATAAGCCTATTCTATTTTTTAAGACTTTGGAATTCAGGGGTCAGTGAGTGTCTGAGAAATCCATTCTAATAATCCTAAACTGATTTTGTTATGAGCTACTTCCACTCCCTCATTTTTTTGTTCTTCTCCCTTATTAGTCAGCAGAGTTTATTTTGTCCATAAGCAAATTGGTTCTTCCATTATCATGTATTCTTCTTGGATTCTGTTGCTTATAGTCTTATAGTATTGATTTTATGCTATGAGTTTCTTGGACTCCATTTTTGAGATTAAAAACACATTTTTTTTTCTTTAAAAAACTCCGTATTCATTGGTTTTTCTTTTTTTTTTTTGATGCATTATTTTTGTCTTGGGATTTAAAATTATATTTCATCAGTCAGAGAAAGAGCCGTAGGAATTAAAAATTATTGCTGGTCCCACAGTAGGTGTTTGAGTTTTCAATTTTTTCATTTTTTTCCTCACTGGTTTATGTTTATATTGTTCTATTTGCAGAAGAGATAACACATACGGTCCCCAGCTCTAGTTTGTCCTGAGTAAGCCCTTTGAGACTTGACTTCAACTGGGTACAGAGCAGCCAAGTACTTTGCCCTCATATTTGCATGGAAAGGGCAAAAGAGACTTGTGTGTTGGCGTTAGTATGTTCAGAATAGTGCTTCAGAGTATCAAGCTAGCTGCAGGTACCACTGGAGTGAGCTTCTTAGTTATCACATGAAGTCTTTCATTGCACTACTCAGGTATATGACAAGGGAAAAAAAATCTGCCTATTCAGTCTCAAACATATTTTCAAAATATACATGCACATACATGTGAAGTTGTGTGAGAGAATCCAGAAATTTTCCCAGTCCCTTCACGACTCCAGACTTCCAGTGACAAGAACAGAATAAGTCTGAGGTGGGAAAAGATTTTTTTTTACTTTTGCCTGGTCGACAGTGATGTGGCTGCCTCTCAGTTTAAATCCATTTTTATTCTTTTATCACTTAATTCTCCTTTTTCACAAAGTAAATTATGGAAAACCCAGAATGCACAGCTCTGGTGGAAAATATGATACTTCTTTCTGTAAAGGTAGAGGGTTGGCTTTGTCTTGGGGATGGCATTCTTGGACACATGACAAATTAAGGGGTTTCAGGTATCGAACAATCCTCTCCCACACCTATGAGCACATAATAACTATTCAGATGGGCCGGACTGATTTTACAGATGCTTCGTAGATCTGTATTTGTATCTGCTGGATATATGCCACCGCAGGGTTAGTCTTTCTCCAGTCACACCCCGGTTACTTCCTCTTACAGTCTCCCACACGTGCTAAGCAGGAAGGAAATTGCCTCATGGGGATAAAAAATGCTTCAGATACATAATGAGAAGTATCTCATGGCAGAGAGTGCTAATGAAATCAACAGTCAGTCTGTGAAAAGAAGGGAAGTGAATGAAGCAGCTAGAAAACTTTTTGGAGATATACTGCTTTTGTAAGTTACTGGATAGTAGTTTTAGTGGTGGTCATGGTTGTAGAGTCTTCATGGCTCCTTAGTTTGAGGGTGTTATCCCGTACCACTTCCTAGAGAGTGGAAATGCCTGGGTGTCTGATACGGTAACCATCAGCCACATGCATTTCTCTCTCTAAGCCAGCAGACTTTAATGACTTAATATAATTAAAAGTGTAAAATTCCTCATCAAGGACTTCACAATATCAGTTACATCTTGAAATAATATTTAGCCAAGAAAAGGCGAAATAAAAATATCACTGACTTAATTCATCTATTTCTTTTTGCTTATAATAAATACATAATTCTCAGCAAATTCTAGATTATACATAAGTACATTTTGACATGTTTTTATAATGCACAGTTCTACTCCAGACAATCAAGAAGTTGGGGTGCTATAGAGCACAAAAATCTTCAAAAGCCGTTCATATCAGTTTTTCTATCAATAAATATAAAATTAATAATTACTTATTGCTTTTTTATCTCCATGAAGAGTGTCAGAGTCATAAGATCAAGAAGAAAAGTTCCTGATTCTCTTGTGTAAAATCAAGCAGGTAATGGCATATGCAGGCACTTTATGTCCCTGGTATTTTTACCAGGGCATACGTAGTAGCATTCAGTATATTTTTGGACCAGGTAAAGCATATAATCAATATAATAGGTAAAACAGTCTCTTCCAATGATTAAGTTCCCCTGCCATGGATTCTGATTCACACTTAGGACCAGTCCTCTGGAGGGTATGGTCTCACTGTCTTGCCCTTTACACTTGTCCTCTCCTGATTCTGCTCTTGCTTCCTCTCAGCATCCTCATTAGCCCTCCCGGTTCCACTTCACCTGCCTGTTAGCTGTGCTTACCTGACCCAAGCATGCTGCCACTTTATGCTTTGGACTTTTGTGCTTACTGTTCCAACTACAAGGATGTTCTCCAACTACTTTTTGCCCTGGGCCCTTGCTCATATCCCACCCCTGCCAGGAAGCACTTCCAGGTCCCTCCTACAAAGCCTTTCAGGATCAGTAGCCTTCCTTCCCAGCCTCCTTTATTAAAACCAAGCTCCTTGGCAGAACTCTACAAAAGCCCAGTGTCTCTGAGTGTCAAGTTTCTTGTTTGTCACCTGTTGAAAAGAAGCAACAAAATAGAATGGAATGCTATGGTCCACCCAGGACCACACAGGTCTACCCAGACAAGCTCTGTCCCTATCTTCAGGACACACAGATGAACTCCTTTGTCCTCACACCTGAGGGCAGATCTCCTGGAGGGCAATGAGGTGGAGTTATCCAAGTGACATATTGGCTGCCCGTCCTGTTTCTCCTGGCATTTGCCTGGAGTTTCTTGGCCACCACCTTTGTTCTCTGTGAGAATGGATCTTTTCTTCACTATTTCTTCCCTTTTCTCTCTCTAAGCCAATGTGTAGTGAGAGCTACACAGTCTCCTCCACAAAAGGTTTTTGAAAGACTAATGTTCTAGAAGTTTGTGGTACTGGGAGGACTTCAGGGATAAATTTTGGAAGTACAACAGAACCAGAGAAGTTTTTCATGATTTTATTTTAGAGCGCACAACAGCTACCAGAGCCATGCTTACTTAGAGGAAACCACACGGGCATTGTGAGATACACAAGGGTTTCCCTTAATATATGTCCAGTGTACCTGTAATCCAAAATATATCTGCACTGATGGGGATCACTGCATCATCATTAGGGCAGATACCCAACTCCCGAACAGCATTAACCACTGCTTCAACTTGTACGGTGCCTAGAAGAGAGGAGCGCAAAGATCATCTCACAGACACTTCACCGTCCTCTTTTTTTCTCCTTGGATCCGGTACCTGCCCAATGGGGGACAGTTTCCCAAATCATCTACAAATTGCTCATCTTTCTTAGCTTTTCTCATGTAGTGCTTCCCTTTTGGTACCCGGGCCTCATTTCACCCCCCACCCCCAGTCCTCCTCCTACCCTACCATCTGCTCTTCCACCTGGCAGTTCTGTTTCTGCTTTCCTTCCTGGGTGAAGAGCCCCTCCCTTAGAAAATGCCTGTACTCACTGCTGGTCTGGAAGTCCCAGTAGAAATTTTTTGGGTAATCTCCACAGAGGCAGGAGGTGTATCTGTAGTTGAAGCTGCCATCAATTGGCTTGCTGCTTCTAAGGTAAGTTTTAATCTGGTGAATGGAGAGGACCCAGTGTTACTCTACCCATTAGGCTCTAGTAAATGGGATGGGCAAAAAAGATGAGATGAAGAAACCGGAGATTGGCCACATTTATGGAGGATCCCACATGCTTAGTGTCACTGCAAGGGCTTGGCGGTGTCAGGTTCTTTCTCCTCCTGTCCTCTAGCTTCTACTTGAAGTGTGGGTGTGAGACTCAGGACGTTACAGGAAGAAGGTGAATGAATTTATCATCTGTCCGAGGGAATCTGTGGGATTGGCCTGCATGATCCTTTACTCTGTCACCTGCTGAAACGGCAGCCTGGCTGGTTGGGTGTATCTGCCAAGGCCAGGCCTTGTCGTGTTGACCAGTCCCTGCTGCACTCGTTTTTAACTTTAAGAAGCTTGGTGACTTTTTTTTTCTTAGTACATGCTTGCTGTACGTGAAGTTTACAAACAATCATCTTGGTTGGTACATGTATATAACACAGCTGGATTCTTTTTTATTTGGCTTTCTCTTCCCACTCACCTTCCCACCTCGATGACTGAAATTACTCTTTTCAATGCCGCTTCCACTGAGAGATGGCACCTTTACCTCCAAAGACTGTCTATTAGATAAGTTAAGGATATCTAGAGGGGCAAGTCCCTCCCTCCCTCCCTCCCTTCCTTCTTCCCTTTCTCCTTCCTTCCCTCCCTCCCTACTTCCTTCTTTCCTTTCTTTCTTTCTTTTTTAACTTGAGAATGTCTTGCAAATTAAGATCACAGATTATTGTACATATCAAATTTCAGTGCCTAGTTAGTATTAACCTGGGGGTTTTGGCCTGTGCCTGTCAGTAAATTCATTCACTGTGGATAAATTTTTTCACAGTGTAAATATATATGGAGAGAAGTGGCATCACTGACTAGACTCTAACTGACATTTAGCATTATTTTAGTGATGAAAGGCATTAACGCAACACAGTAACATCAGTACTGGATGATTTTATGACAAGAGAAAAGAAAATAGTTCATAGCCCCTTACAGATTAAAATATCTCAAGAAAAAGGAAGGGAATTAAGAGATGGATGGAGGAGGGAGGGAAGTAGGGGATAGAAAAGGGGTGAGGATATATTGTGTGCAGTATATGTCCTAATTTACAGCAAGGAATGTAAAACTTATGTACTACAAACATATCCTAATAAGAAAAGTTTTAAAATAATTTTGCCTGCACTCAACATTGCCCTGAGCATGTGGGAGTTATCAGAGTGGCTGGCTGTGCGTGGCTGAGGCCATCTGCCATCTGCCCACCCCAGAAGCTTGCTGTGATCCCTGGCAATTTTGCACTGAACAACCCTCAGCCCCACAGGAAATCCCAGTGACCTCACCATTCCATGCTTTTCTGAACACCCTGGAGAGCTCTGGTGTTCAGAAGACCCTATCTTTGTGCTGTTTACTTCTTCATTGGATTCTTAATGAAATATCACCAAGAAACAGATTTTTCGACAGTTGTGTCCTTGAAATAAAAATACCAGAACCCTGTGGCTGCCCAGCCTGTCGGGTGCCAGGTGTGTCGCAGGCTAGCACAGGTTCATGTAGTTCTTACCCAACCTGAGCCCCAGCAGCCCCCACAGATTGCGTCTTTGCAAAATGAAAATTAACATGCTTACATCTCTAAAGTGCTGCTTTTCCAGCTGATGCATCAATAAACACGTTATTATTTTACAAGTTTATTTTATTTAATTTTATCTGTTATTCAATATATTGGTTTTCATAAGTAATCTAATGTACTTCATTTATGCGTTTAAAAGCATTGTTTGCTGATAAGTATGCCAGAGTTTTCTGAGCCCAGTAATGTGGTGCATATCAAAAAAATGCTTAAGCACTGTGTCCTACCACAAGTTTCTTTCAGCCTTAAAGGATTATACAGTCTTTGTATTCAAAAACATAATCATGGCTATAATGCATTATGTTTTAAATCTAAAAGACACATGAGCCTAAAACCTCACTCTCTCAAAAATTCAGTTGTAGAAGCATTATGATAGAAAATGTGGTGGAATTTTAAACTAATAAACAAATTCTATTTTCCTACAATTTTCAAATCATAAAGATGTTTAAAAGTGCTACATTCATTTTTTATTAAATGCTAGAAATAAAAATTGGTTGAGTAAAGCTAAAAAAATTTCCTTTTCCACAAGTTCTTTCCTATTTGCAAACTCACTGACTCAAACTCAAGAGTTTCTTGTCCTTTTACTTGAACTTAGGTTTTAAAAAGATCACTTTATTGTATTTTACCAGCATGACTCTAAATGTTTAACTTTATAGACCACAATGTCACATGACTGTTTGTTGATCTGAACACATTTTATCCAACCATCACTTTTTCAGGGGTAGAAATAGAACTTCATTAAGTATCACAACAAGAAACTACTATTATCACAAATATTTAATGTATGAAATATATACACATTTTCTGCATCATCATCTGTGATTATGATAAAGAAAACATGAGACTGAAAACCCATGAACTGGACCCCCTTCCACCTCAAGTCAGCACACATGCTTCAAAATCTTGGGAGGCAAAGAGAAAAATCTTACAGAGCACCTGGAATATTCTCTGCCTGATGATCAAGGATCTCACTCTTAAGTGTGGAGCATTTCTAAAAGGCCTTATAATGCATAGGTGTCTTAATGCTCCCAATTTAGTTTTCTCTTTAATCACTGTCCTTAAATCTCACTTGAAATAGGAAACTCACCGTGTAGAGAAATGGGGCATGAAGTAATGCTCTAACCCCAGGGGTTGTCTCTGGAACACAGCATTCATATGCGCTGGGAGTTTGTTACAAATAGAGAAGCTCTGGCTTCTCCCTACACTGCTGTATCAGATTCTATCCTTTGATGACACTCCCAGGTGAGTTTTAGTTGTACCATGATTTTGAAACCTGTGCTGTGGTTCAGAGAGGAGACTGCCCTCTGACAACTGCTGAGCTGGGGAAAGGAAATGCATGTGAGCTCCCTGTTCATCAGGGGAGGCCTGGAAAAGAGTCAGCGACTGGTGAGACAGAGAAAAGAGCAGAGGGAGGGTGAGAGGAAAGCAGCCTCATGGCAGAGCTTACAGAAAGGAGGCACCAGAGCCTGTAGTCCTCATCTCAGCTGCTTCAGCCTACTGCAGGGGGTTGCAGTGTGTTCTGAGCATCCCCTGCCCAAACTCCATCCCAAATGCACCACGCTCAGGACATTGGAGAAACTCCTAGCAGTTCTCTATGACCTCTTAGATCTTTTTTGTTTTCTCCCCTCACCCCTACTACCTATTCTTTCTCTTTCTCATTTTCCCTATTCTTTTCTGGCCAGAGTTTCTTCATCTGTAAGATAAAAGTCATCATCTTCAGCAAACTCTCATCATTGTTCTATAGCTCAGAAAGCATAGCATATTTGAGAATGTTTTATAAAGTATTCTGTGCAATATTAAAGTGAGAACTTGAGCATACTGCATTCATAATAAAGGACTTACATTTGTCTTATAGTCACTTCCCCATGTCTCTACTTACCACCATGCATTCTCGCAATTCTGTCTGAACGTTAAGCTTCAAGGTGACTTCTTCACCGGCTCTGGCTGCTTGTGGCATCTCCATATCGAGTATTATCGCCCTTCGACTAGTTCTGGAAGGAGCAAGACAGGTCACAGAGATCAGAGACCAGTCCATGGGGTGGGGGGGTGGGCACCGTGAGGTGGCAGGAGGGAGAGGGACAGTGCCAGAGAGGGGATGATGGGGCCTGGATCAACTGCTCAGCATCAGACTCCCAAAGCACTCAGATGTGCTGGTTTCTGAGGACGGTTGTCTCCATTACACTGCTTGGCAAAACCCTGAACAGTTTCCTGCAGGACAGGGCATCTGGCCAGGACCTCACAGAGCACCATCACGTTCATGTCCAGAAACACAGCCATCCAAGGCCTGATGCCTTACATTAAACTTCAGAGTTTTGCTAAGTGTCCCCTAACACCTGCTTCCATGTCCTAGTCATTGTACTGCCATCTTTTTCTGCTCCTTCCAACTAGTATCCTCAGTATATTGAGCAGCAAACCTGTGCTTTCAGGTCCCCGTGTTGGAGTGACTAAGAGGTTCTCATATTTACTTTTCGGCTTTAGAAAAGAAAAAATATTTAAGATGCCTGCAGGCTACCTCGACCTTGAACAAGGAGGTGGTGATACTAGAGCGTCTCATCCTTCAGTGAGTCCTGCCGAAGCTGCACAAATCTGTTGTGAGAATTCACAGACCTCTGCGCCTTCCCTTGGGTAAGAAATAGTTTGAAAAAGTAAAGCTTATGGAGCAAAATTCTGAACAAAAGAAATTGAGAACATGTTGTACATTAGAGATGAAGATTAAGGTTCATTTTATGTTTTGGATTTTTGAGAAAGGGTCTTGCTATATCGTTCAGGCTGGGCATGAACTCACTGTTACACAGGCTGGCCTTGAACTCAGGGCCATTCTCCCGCCTCAGCCTCCCAGATTTTGGATTATAGGAGTGAACATACTGACTTGGAGTAAGACTAATTTGTCATTACAATCTCTGGCAAAACTACATGGCAAAACTTATTTAACAGATAATCTATAAACACCCAGAAGAAATGTGAGGGGGTTGATAGGGTTTCCTAAGAGGAGACAAGTGGAACTCATCATGAGGTCATGTGAGCCCATGAGACAAGATACCTGGGAAGATTAAAAAATCTACAAGAAGGAGATTAGGAGCAGAGCCCTCCGCGTGGGTTTTCTGTAAGGACAAGAAGAGCTTAGCTCACGTGTCTTCCTGGGCTGTGCTGATCCCCAGCTGCAGGCACAGAACCAGGAGCAGGACGGCAGGGCTGGCCCTGAACAGGAGCTGGAGAGCATGCATCCTGGGGGACTCAGGAGGTGATGTCCAGGGACAGTAGTGTCCTGGTGCCAGCACAGTTCTTATATGCAGATCAAGGAAGAGGAAAAGCTGTCAGGTAGGTCAGTTAGGGGAATCACCCAATCACTCTCCTACACATAAGCTTTCCTTGTTGCCCTGAAGTTTGTTTTTCTCTTGAAAAAAATCAACAATCAACTAGATTGCTAGAATCAGAGAGAGACATCCGCCATTATTTTCTCAGCATTAGAGCTTCTCAGAGTGATTGCGCTCTGGATCACCGTTCTGTTTTTCATTTGCCACTACACATATCCATCAGTCCTGCTGGGTGTGGTCTTAGCTCCAGCCAATGTCTCTATGGGTACTGAGCCAGCAATGGTGGTAGATTTTAAGTTGCAGTTCTAGAGCACATTTGCTTGGTCACCTTAGAATGAATTCAAAGGAGATGTCACTAAAAAGAGGTTTTAGAGTCCTAAGTTGATCAGAGACTCCGTAGAAGCCACCACCATCACATAGTGAGAGATCGAAGGAAGAGCCAGGCTTCTGTGGGTGATAGAGGTGGGGTTGCAGCAGGGCAAAGGTGAGTGAGGGGTGCAGAGGCGAAGATGTTTGTGATTGCTGAGTCCTTCTGAACTTCAAGTGCGGTAGTAAATGCGACAGATGCCCAAGATGTCAGATCCTTCTAAGTCCTCATTGCAGGGCACCAATATTTCAGTTCTGGACAGTTCATCTACATAGCTGGCATTTCCAAATTAGACTTTAGACATCAGTGACTCTATTTCTTTCCATATCAAAGTGACCATAGGGTCACATCTCGCACTTCTCTTATCCATAGCATGTAGGAAGACCCCACAGGAGGGATTTCTTCCCCTAGAACAGAACTCCAGCCATGTCTGGGATATTCCTGACCCATGCAATTCCCCTCCATGGGATCAAGGGGAAACTCACTCTTGCCAACACTGGCATTGTGCTCTTTCTCTTTATAAATTAAATTATTCCTTTTATTATCTATGACTTGTGAATTGTGCGATTTGCTTCTAACCTTTGCATTGTAGGAGTTCAGAAAGGTCTTCTTTGGAGTGTGAGAATATCACTACAGTAGGTGTTGACCAAATATATTGCCATAGCTGACATTCAAAATTAAAATCTAGGCGTATGCTAGTAATTTCTCTCTCTC